CCTGTCGTCTAAGGCGCCGCGATTCGCTGTGCAGAGTTGCGTCCCTTGGGAACACCAGAAACCTATGATTGTGGGTTCGAATCCCGGTTCGCCCCGATTATGTTTCTAGGTTTGTCAGCACCATACCCATGCTCGTGGGTTTCACCGAAGTAGTAAACGTCTGAGACCTGCATCACTTCAGGCTTTCCTCCCACATTAAGCTGACACGGCGTGATATGACTGGAATACTGTTAAAAGCGGCGTTAAACCCAACTCACTCACGCACTAATTGACAGGTCCAGTGAACGTTGTTTCATGCTACTCTCCGTTGATTGGCTACTGAGTTTGTAGGCGTGTCACGTTTGGTGCATAAATTAAACAATCCACTGATTTATGTCACGCCACAGTATGTATTCCTACGACTGGAATGTTTATTAATTTCGCCCTTTCGTCTGCTTTGATTAACATAATTTTCTTTATTAATCTATTGTAGATAAAACGTGTTTACGTTTTAGTGATAAGGATTGACTGTGTATTTATTTCGGTTATTGAGGTATGAATCGAAAAACCGATGTGCAAACTTATGTAAGAATCTGTTACACGGACTCATGAACTTTGCACAACTGGTTCTGATTTGGTGCGTGGCACCATTAGACGGTAGGGGAGGTTATGTGGTGTTTGATACCTTCAGTTCCGCACCCTAGCTGTTGCTGTCATATCGTATACCAAAATAGACGGACGTAGAATTCTCGGGGCCACGATTATCGATACACCATAAGCCATATCTATGCCATACGATAGCTTGTGGCTTTGAGACATCACTCCGTTGTCGCACAAAAGTCTTAAGAATTTCACATATGTATATCTATTCCCGTCCATAAACGTCACTTGTAAGCGAATTTAATGCTTAGAGCATGATATATATATGCGCTCTGCGGAAATAAGTTTGACCTCTATCTCGTTATTCCATGTTTTCTGACAATTCTGTATGGGTAATTTAAAACTTATTTCTAGTTCATGCAGATGTTAATATCCGATTCCCTTTGAAAACGTTTAGATTAACTTCTGCAAGTAGTGTATTAAAATGCATTATCGGGGCCAGATGCGGGGTGAGAAGCGGGGTCAGTCTGGATTATCCAGTGATATCACTCGAACTGCTACTTAAAGCCATTTATTGACAATTACACTCAATGTGGAGATTACAAAGCTCCTCAGGTGTCAGTGAGGTTGGCCAAAAGGCGCAGCAGGTCGCTGTGCTGGGTCACGTCCTTTATTTGTCAGGAGGAGTGAGTGAGTGAGTTGGGTTTAACGCCGCTTTAAACATTATTCCAGTTATATCCCCGCGTGTCAGCTTAATGTGGGAGGAAAGCCCGAAGTGATGCATGTCTCAGACGTTTACCACTGCAGTGAAATCCACGAGCAAGGGTATGGTGCTGACAAACCTAGAAACATAATCGGGACGAACCGGGATTCGAACCCGCAATCATAGGTTTCTGGCGTGGCCAAGGGACGCAACTCTGCACAGCGAATCGCGGCGACTTAGACGACTGGGCCACCCGTGCCCTCTGACAGGAGAGTTCGAATCTGAATGTGTCCCGCTAAAGAACCTTTCTTGGGTGGAGGTCGGTGTAAGAGTTTTCTTGAAAAGAATATTATTTGTTTCGGAAAATACTGTATTAAATAATTTGCCCTCACGTTTTGCCCCCCCCCCCCCCCCCCCCCCCCCCCCCCCCCCCACACACACACACACACACAAACACACACACTCATTTTGTTGTTGGGTCAACTCGTCCACGATGTTGTCTGGATCACGTGAACAAGGACCAAACGAGGACGAGGAGAAGGGGAAGGGGTAAATAGATACCAGATCAAATGAGAAAAGAAGGAAAATGGACGCATGAGAGCGATCGTTCACCGTATGGTACGTTTCAAAACAATCAAGTGATTTCCTCCAGGTGAGACCAATAGTGCACCTTCACACACTGCAAATAGGTCAAATACACCTCGCTGTGGTCAGTTTGGTGGCCGTAATAATGGCACGAGGTTACCGAAGGAACCAGACCCCAGGCAGGGAGTACAGACCATGCAGCCCTCCAGCCGGCTGTCATGGAGCTATCAGCTGATCTCTGAGGCCCGACATGACGCCTCTGACCTTCACGGAATTCGGAGAAAATGTCGGCTATTCCCCGATACTAGGTTGTTACACACGCTTGCCCTGGTGTAGCGAGATAGTGTCGCGTGACACGGAGTTCAATTATTGCCCTAATCGTGGCTATCCCTGTGTTGTCTGATACTGGAGATGTTACGCAGCAAGAAGCACCAGCGTGCCTGATCAATTGTCGGATAAACAACCGATACATAGCCAGGAACTGGCATAATCGACATGCCGACTTGCCTAATGTCGCGAGAGAATTCCGGCCATTTTTTGGAATAGATGTCATGCAGCTCAATGACCTACGTGACCCAGCGTCTCGTTTGGTAGATGAAGTCTGAATGCATTGGGGTTATACAAGCATGTGTGTCATACTGATTGTAGGATACGAGTGTCTGATTTTGTTTGTATTTCCCGAGCGAGAGCGAAAGTAATACATGAATTCTTACACGTAAAATCTGTGTAACACATATAAGAGTATAATATTTTCTATATTACCCATTATTTCTTAATTCTTTTTATACAGCTGTATTACACATTGTGTAATACCAAAACGCGTGCTTATGTACTCTCGGAACACGTTTCACGAACAAATATTGAAAGCTCTCAACATCCCTTGGCTTATTCAACGACATTGCGTGTGGAGTTGATAGATCACTGAGAGGAGCTTATGCACACTCGATGACCCCAGCAACCTTGTTGCTAGGCTAACGTCACATGACATTGTTTTCCCGATGGATCTTGCAACAAAATTCCACAAATTACGTCATCGGGTATTGTGACGTTTTGTAAACTTTGAGGCGCAAGGCCCGTTTCACTAGGCGATCGTATTGTAGCGCAACGACAGTCGTTAGTCTCAGTTAAAGTATGTGAGTTGCGACAGTCTTAGCCCTACGATAATTTTGTGAATTCCAAAGGTGGACCGTTGTATGGTATTAAATTCATACGTTTCAACTTTTGACGTGTTTGAAGTATTATTCTGTTAAACTCTGCCGTGGATCGTGTAGGTGTCAGCCTATCTTACTCAACAGTATAATTCTAAAAACGTTATAAATGGCAAGTAATAAATAAAATACTAAACTCGCTCCCGTGTAAAAACAGTTTTATGAAACTCGGGAGCGAGTTTAGTATTCTATATTGAGCCCCCACTGAAACAAGAAAACAATGGACTGATCACCACTGCGGTCTTAGAAAACCATAATTGTCGAATGACTTCAACAGTATTCAGATATGACGTCGTTGCTAGTGTGACGTCATTCCGACCTTACGTCACAATAAGATTTGAATTACGTCAACAATGCAGTTCACATGACGTAAACAATACACTGGTGCGCGTGAAGTAGTATTTGCACAAGTGCACATGCGGTTTTTATTAACTCGGTTATTTCTAACCTCATGGGTCATATGTTGAAACTCGAAGCAAGTGAAATCTTGAAATTTCATTTAAGGGACTAATTGCAGCTCGAGGCCCTTTCTTGCAATGTGATCTTAGCGCTAGCGGTTTTAAACATTAATGCCCAAACATCCTGTCTGAATTTCCAGACGTGATCTGAACTTCTTAACACCAAGTGTAATACATCCCTTCTCTTATTTATCAGAGCACAGAGTAGGATTATGGTGTAATAGCGATTGACCAGACAGTCTACGCAGCACGAGTGACATAATGGGTTATCATTGCTAACCTAGTCACGTACAATACATACTCGACTTTGCACAATAAGTAACAGTCGTATGTGTGTGACTCCCCCTGTTAAGCTTAGAACAGGTGCCCCATCACCTAATGCAGCTCAACCCTCTGTCAGGACTCGGTGATTGTGGCCTGTAGTTCCCCTGTTCGTCTCAGTCATGACCCGCGGTTCGTCTATTCAATCAAGGCTAAAGGGGGCGGTCGGGTAGCCTAGTGGTTAAAGCGTTCGCTCGTCACGCCGAAGACCCAGGTTCGATTCCCGACATGGGTACAATGTGTGAAGCCCATTTCTGGTGTCCCCCGCCGTGATATTGCTGGAATATTGCTAAAAGCGGCGTAAAACCTTACTCACTCACTCGCAAGGCTATAGCGACCATATGTTGTAAGCATCACACCAATACGTCTAAACTTTTTTTATTACATATAACAAATGTTATATTTGGGATAACACTTCCTTAGTATAATACACAATCAATTTCTTTTTTGGGTTGAACCCCATCCGGGATTCTAACCCACACTCTCAGAGTAAGGCACCAAATCGCGAGCACACAAAGTCAGCGATCTAACCCACTCAGCCCCCGAGGCTTTCACAAAATGGAACTCGCTAGTACGTTATTAAAATGCTGAAAAGCCCGACACGAAGGATAGCTCTGTTGGAACAGTTGAGACCGCCTCCGTGGTCTAGTAGTAGAGCGTCCGCCCGGAGAGCGGAAGGTCCGGGGTTCGATCCCTGGCCGCGTCATACCAAAAGACGTTAAAAGATGGTACTTGTTGTTACCCTGTTTGGCGCTCGGCATTAAAGGGCTAAAACAAGGACTGGTCGGCTCGGAGTCAGTATACTGTGTCTGAGTGGGGTATTCATGTTAAACTGCGGCATGGTATCTCAGTGTGCTAGCACTATAAATCGGCATCAGTCTGGACTAGTACAAGCAGCCACACACACACACACACGTGCTTGCACGTCGCTGTATAAGTGCAATAATCTTGGACGCGACGTTAAACCCAACTTCAACTCACCTCACCTCACCTCACCTCACCTCTCCTGTTGGAACAGTTACTCATTTGTCCCGTACAAACTACCTTCGAGTCACTTCTCAGTCTTTCGGCTTGGAGCCGTACCTGTATGCATACATATACTGGCTTATTATGCATACACGCCAATCGTTATTGATGTTGTTCCAGAACTGGACTCAGCAGTTGTGTCTCATGGATTCTGATGGCGATGGGCGGACGAACGGCGAGGAGCTGGGAGACCCAAACTGTGTGTGGAGCTTCGGAGGCCAGCCACAACGGACAACTAACATCACACATCCGGGTAAGTATATTCTACCATCTACCATTTACCATGCACATAACCAGGGCGCGCCAAATTCGCTGAGGCGTCTCATGCCAGCAGTATGGCCATTAATCTTTTCATTGCTGGAATATTTCTTCTTCTTTTTTTGAGGTTTCGATTCGTCATAAACGTTTCTATGGTAAGATTCGACCCTCTGCCTTTCAATGTCTTGTACACTGCGTTCGCGACAGACAGTCTTCTCCTGAGTGAATTGTAGGTCTTTTGGCGTCCGTGGAACGTTTTCGATGTCGTCGATTGAATTGTCGGTCGTATCACCTGTATGGAACGTTGTCTGTACAGTTGAACGAATTGCCGGCCGTCCCACGACTTTGGAGAGTTGTCGGTGTAGTCGAGTGTGTTGTCGGCCGTCTGGCGTCTGTGGAGCGTTGTGGGTGGAGCCGGGTGTCGGGTCCCTGACACCGATATAGCACATTGCCGGCCGTCTGGTATAAGTTACGAGTGATACGGGCTGTCTGTGCCATTGTCGGTGTAGTTGTCGTTAGTCTGACGTCTGTGGAGCGTTGTCGGTGTAGTCGAGTGTGTTGTCGGCCGTCTGGCGTCTGTGGAGCGTTGTGGGTGGAGCCGGGTGTCGGGTCCCTGACACCGATATAGCACATTGCCGGCCGTCTGGTATAAGTTACGAGTGATACGGGCTGTCTGTGCCATTGTCGGTGTAGTTGTCGTTAGTCTGACGTCTGTGGAGCGTTGTCAGTGTAGCCGAACGTGTTGCCGGCCGTCTGGCGTCTGTAAAACGTGTCGATGTTGCCGAGTGTATTGCTGGTCGTCTGGCGTCATTGGAGAGTCGTCGGCGTAGTTGAAAGTGTTGTTGGTCGTTTGAACGTGTTGTGGATCGTCGTCGATGTAGTCGAGTATGTTGTCGGCGCGGTAGGTGCTGCTTGCACAATGCCGCCACTGTTATGTGTGTGTATACAACACGGGAGGTTGTTTGTTATCTCAGACACGAAATCGAGTTCACGGCAGTTTGATAAGTCCGAAATGTCTTAGATATGCAGTTATTTACATTCGCGATGGTAAAACATGAAGCACAGCTGATGATAACTTTGCTGGAACACCTGCACTCTCCTCCCCTTCTGATCTGAATCCTCAAGACTCCGTCCAACCTTCCACCCTCCACCCATCCATCCCCCCCCCCCCCCCCCCCCCCCCCCCCCCCCCCACACACACACCCCACATTTGCCATCGGGTCCCTCCAGCACCGAGTTGATCCAATTCCCCCGACCCCGTCCGCCACCCCCGACCCCGTCCGCCACCCCCGACCCCGTCTCTCATCAGCCACCCCATGCCTCCCCATCAGCCGGGCTAATCTGAATTACCCCCACCCCTCTATTCATAACTATGACTACACAGATGTTCCTGATTTGGCCTAAAGCCATTGATATAAATAACTGAAAATCGGGACGAATAAAAAATACTCAAAACTCAATTGAAATAAGGTTGACGTCATTAACACAATTATTGATGTACGTCAATATGTTATTGTGCCAGGTATACCGACAGATACCATACACTATCACGTATGCAAAATGTCTCGTGAGTTCCCTGTGAATTCCTCGCACCAGGTGCACGTCAGTCAGCTTGCCAGTAGGGCCCGAGGGTGGCGGTCTGGGTGGAGTGTGGGTGTTGGCGGCAGAATGGATGGAATTACGATTATGTTGGCATTAAGATGAAGACAGGCTATTGAACTAATTGTACTCCCAGTTGTCTACAGTACCTGTCATAGACAGGTGGTTCTATCATAGTTTCCTGTTTATGACGACAGACAATGTGTTTTCTTCGGAAGCTTAACTTCGGCTGACAATATATTGATTTGGGTTTCTAAATGAAGCAAACCTATTTTTCTCGTTTTTCTCGGCGTCGGTTGTTTTATGATCTGGATGTGTAGCGAGGTGTATGATTAAAACTGATAATAACTTCGTACTCTTGAGTGAGTGAACTCAGTTGGACGAACAGCCACTTTGAACAGTACGTATACAAGATATGAACAGTACGTGTACAAGGTATGAACAGTACATGTACAAGGTATGAACAGTACGTATACAAGGTATGAACAGTACGTGTACAAGGTATGAACAGTACGTGTACAAGGTATGAACAGTACGTGTACAAGGTATGAACAGTACGTATACAAGATATGAACAGTACGTATACAGGGTATGAACAGTACGTGTACAAGGTATGAACAGTACGTGTACAAGGTATGAACAGTACGTGTACAAGGTATGAACAGTACGTATACAAGATATGAACAGTACGTATACAAGGTATGAACAGTACGTATAAAAGGTATGAACAGTACGTGTACAAGGTATGAACAGTACGTGTACAAGGTATGAACAGTACGTATACAAGATATGAACAGTACGTATACAGGGTATGAACAGTACGTGTACAAGGTATGAACAGAACGTGTACAAGGTATGAACAGTACGTATACAAGGTATGAACAGTACGTGTACAAGGTATGAACAGTACGTATACAGGGTATGAACAGTACGTGTACAAGATATGAACAGAACGTGTACAAGATATGAACAGTACGTGTACAAGGTATGAACAGTACGTGTACAAGATATGAACAGTGCGTATACAAGGTATGAACAGTACGTGTACAAGGTATGAACAGTACGTGTACAAGGTATGAACAGTACGTGTACAAGATATGAACAGTACGTGTACAAGGTATGAACAGTACGTGTACAAGATATGAACAGAACGTGTACAAGGTATGAACAGTACGTGTACAAGGTATTAACAGTACGTATACAGGGTATGAACAGTACGTGTACAAGGTATGAACAGTACGTATACAAGATATGAACAGTACGTATACAGGGTATGAACAGTACGTGTACAAGGTATGAACAGTACGTGTACAAGGTATGAACAGTACGTGTACAAGATATGAACAGTGCGTATACAAGGTATGAACAGTACGTGTACAAGGTATGAACAGTACGTGTACAAGATATGAACAGTACGTGTACAGGGTATGAACAGTACGTGTACAGGGTAGGAGCAGTACGTATACAATGTATGAACAGTACGTGTACAAGATATGAACAGTACGTGTACAAGGTATGAACAGTACGTGTACAAGGTATGAACAGTACGTGTACAAGGTATGAACAGTACGTGTACAAGATATGAACAGTACGTGTACAAGGTATGAACAGTACGTGTACAAAGTATGAACAGTACGTGTACAAAGTATGAACAGTACGTTTACAAGATATGAACAGTACGTGTACAAGGTATGAACAGAACGTGTACAAGGTATGAACAGTACGTGTACAAGGTATGAACAGTACGTGTACAAGGTATGAACAGTACGTTTACAAGATATGAACAGTACGTATACAGGGTATGAACAGTACGTGTACAAGGTATGAACAGTACGTATACAAGATATGAACAGTACGTGTACAAAGTATGAACAGTACGTGTACAAGGTATGAACAGTACGTGTACAAGGTATGAACAGTACGTGTACAAAGTATGAACAGTACGTTTACAAAGTATGAACAGTACGTGTACAAGGTATGAACAGTACGTGTACAAGGTATGAATAGAAGGTGTACAGCTTGATGTATGAGGAAAGCCCGAAGTGATGCAGGTCTCAGACGTTTACCACTTTGATGGAACCAACGAGCTAGGATATGGTCTTGGCAAACCTTGGATCACGATTGAGCCGAATCTTGGAACCGAACCCTCGGATCAGGTGTGCGACCGTGCGCATGGGCATGTGCGTATCCGTCGCAAGAAGTAATAATTAACCGGTTGGCTCGTTTCCAAAATGTAAGAGATGTAAACAGTTAATTATCTAATTGTGTCAGCATGTCTAGAACAAGCGAACAATCACAGAATAAGGGTCATTGAAAAGGTTTGTGTTCGATGAAGATCCGGGTAGACAATAGGTCTTCAGCAACCCATGTTTGCCGTAAGAGGTGACTATGCTTGTCGTAAGAGGCGACTAACGGGATCGAATGCTCAGGATCTGTGACTTGGTTGTTGCATGTCATCGTATCCCAATTGCGTAGATCGATGCTCATGATGCCAAGCACTGGATCGCCTGGTCCAGACCACCCTCACATAGCTGGAATATTGCTGACAGGGCGTTAACAACAAACAAACAAACAAACAAACAAAAGGTGTGCACACCGGTTCCCATACTCACATCCACAGCTCACAAACATTTCAATGCAAGTTTCCCCAAAAACGAAATAGCCGGTCGCCTACTGAAAGAGGGCCACAAGTACTGCCACCACCCGCCCAACTCATTCGGGACCAACTCGTGTTATTCCTGGACAGGCCGAATAGCGACACGTGCCACTCTCGTGGCCATTTTTGCGACCGGGTTCCGTCTTAGCGCAAACGGGCATACCTAAAACAATTGTCAACTCGTTGCGTAATGTTTCACATATATTTCCCCATATATATATACATATATTTTAGATGCAATTAAAAGCACATCGGGACATGCGGATTTATACATTATGATTGACCCAGTTAACTTTGTCTTGGGTATATTTTTAGATGCAAGACATATGTAAAATCAAAAAATGTTTCTGAGGGATTCTTTGACGAAGAACTTGAAATCATACGCGCATTCTGATTGGTTTGTCGTATTTTCGCACATGACATTCATCGATAGGGGGACGAGTCTTCTTGCAGGTTACGGAAAGGGGCGACTGGCAACGAATGCCGCCTAACTGTGTTCAGTGCTGGAATTAAACGATAAATCAAGAACTTATTCTCTCATTGCACATGGTGGCAATCAGCATATTAATAGCTTGAGGCGAAGGTAATTATAAGATCATATCCTCCCAGCGACATACCTACATAGTATATCTGATTATACACGCCTCACTTATCCCTCATTCAGCGCTTCATGTTACACTCAGTTACATCTCGCAGTGTTCGGGCGTATGCCCATCAGCCCCCAGGACCGCCGATAACGT